GGGTGTACACCCAACCAAACACAAAGTGCAAACTACACTAAACTAGGATATAAAAGTACAAGTACAAAATGTGAGATTGGGGCCTAACACCAACACCCCCCCTGAGGCGTCAATCGAACTCATGGCGGAGAAGGAGGAGCGCAGAGCCCCATGGCGCCAAGGAGACGATGGTGGGGAACCTTCCCAAGGGGCTTGGTGAACAGGTCAGCCAGGTTGCAGTCAGATGCCACGTATTCCACCTTCAGCTGCTCTTGTTGCACAAGGTGACGAATGAAGAAGTGCCGAAGTTCAATATGCTTGGTGCGGGTGTGATACACAGGGTCTTGAGAGATGTGGATGGTACTCTGGTTGTCACACCAGAGGGTGGGGGCTGACTGAGGGAAGCCAAGCTCCTGGAGTAGGAAGGTGAGCCAACGGGCCTCCTGAGCAGCCATGGTGCCTGCGTAGAGCTCCGCCTCACAGGAGGAGAGGGAGACTGCAGACGACCTGGTGGAGCGCCAACTGACAGTTCCGCTCCCGAGGGTGAAGCAGTACCCCTGAGAGGAGCGTCGGTCGGTCTGGTCATCAGCCCAGGAGGAGTCTGTGTAACCTTCCAGGCGAGGAGGGGAGAGCCCACCGAGTGTGAGAACGTGGGACTTTGTGCCCTTAAGATAGCGCAGCACCCGCTTTGTTGCCTTCCAATGAAGATTAGTGAAGCGACCCGGGGCCACGTAACGAGAGAGAACACTGACTGGGTTGGCCAAGTCCGGTCGGGTGCACATCATGGCGTACATGAGGGACCCAACAAGTTCCGGGTATGGCTCAGAGCAGGCCTCTGGTGTGGGTACAGCAGGAGCTGTAAGGAGGTGTTGCAGCGGCAGCGGGGTGGCAACAGGTGTGCACAGCTCCATCTCAAACCGCTTGAGCACATTGTCGATGTAGAACTCCTGGGAGAGTGAGATGGTGCGAGCCTTGCGATCACGAGTGATCTCCATTCCCAGGTAGTGCTTGAGGTCACCGAGGTCTTTCATCTGGAGGGCCTTGCTCAGGGCTGCCTGGACTGAGGTCATTTGGGCCGAGTCCTTGGCAACGAGGATAAAATCATCCACGTAGACTAGGATGTAGAATGGCTCAGAATGACGACGGATGAAGAGAGTCGGGTCAGCAGTTGAGGGGTGGAAGTGCAGGGAGAGGAGGACTTCTTTCACCTTGTTGTGCCATTCGCGAGGGGCTTGTTTAAGGCCGTAGACGGGGCGATTCAGCTTCCAGACAGTGTTGGGAGGGAATTCTCCTGGGAAGCCTTCTGGTCTGTCCATGAACACTGTCTCCTTGAGACGTCCTTGTAGGAAGGCGGAGGAGGCATCCATGGATTTGATCTCAAAGTCTTCTCGAGCTGCAACATCCATGAGCGTTCGAATGGTGGGAGGTTTGGATGTGGGGGAGAAGATTAGGTCGAAGTCGCGGTACCGCTGCTGGGTGAAGCCCTTGGCTACGTAACGCGCTTTGAACACCGGTGCCTCGTCTGGGAGCTGTTTTACACGGAACAACCACTTGCCCCCGACGATGTTGACTCCTGGAGGTGGAGTCTCGTCGTCGAAGGAGTGGTTGCGAGTGAATGCTGCAATCTCCGCGTCCATGGCAGCACGCCATTCGGCAGCATGAGGGCCTGAGAGAGCCTCTTGGACGGTGAGAGGGATAGGGATGGTCGGGTTCTCCGCGAGGTTGAGGGAGGGTGAGCCAGTGATATCGGGGAAGATGTGTGAGAGCTGAGGAATGACTGCATGGAGATCACACAGCTCCTCATGCCTGTCTTCTAGAAGGGTAGAGGGCACATCCCCCCTAGCAGGAGGAGGCGGTGTGATCGTTGTGTATCGAAGAACCATTGCGAGTGGAAGAGCAGCGCGATGGGAGCGGGTGCCATGAGCCACCGGTGAGGAGGGTGGGGCAGGCGGTGTCGGAGAGGGTGACTTAGGAGGCTTGGGTGGGGGAATGGGCCGCCGGCGGTACGTGATCAGCTCGGGCGACTGTGGGAGAGCGGGTTCCTCTGTGGTGGGGGGAACTGGGGGAGGAGGTGGGGCCGGAGGGTGGGACCGCCGATGGTAGGTGATAGGTGCGCTCGGAGGGGGCGGTGCAGCGGGAAGTGAGGAAGGTGAGGGGGGGGGCGGAGCAGCTGCCGAAGACACCGGTGAGGCCGGGTCAGAGACCTCAGAGGGAGATGGTGGGATGGCAGGAGAGGGAGGAGGTGAGGGGGCAGGAGCAGGCGGGAGGTCGGGAGGCGCGTCAAAGTCTGCCCACACGAGGGAGGGTGGATCAGGGAGAGGGTCCCGTCCTGAAGGGGAGTAGAATGGGCGGGTCTCATCAAAGACAACGTCGCGGCTCCTGACCAACTGTTGAGTGGAGGGATTGAGGAAGAGGTAGTCAGGTGAGTCGGCGTTGTGCCCAAGGTAGATGCACGTTTGAGTCTTGGGACCGAGCTTGCCACCGTTCTGGCGTCGAGCCTGAGGGTTGAGGAGGACATAGGCGGTGCATCCCCAAACGCGAAGAGAGCGAGCAGTGGGCGTTTTCCCGAGCCAGAGTGTGGTTGGAGTGGTGTCGGGAAGGTGCGGATGGGGGTAAAGGTTGTAGAGGAGGGCGGCGTGGTAGAGAGCGTATCCCCAGAGAGAGTGTGGAGCGTTGGAGTGGCTGAGGAGGCACTGAGTGATCTGCACTAGGGTGTGGTTGCGGCTCTCAGCTATGCCGTTCTGTTGAGGGCTGTCAGGGAGGGTGAAGTTTTGCTGGATGCCTTCGGAGGAGCAGAAGGCTTTGAGCTTGTCGTTGCAAAATTCACCCCCCCCATCCGAGTGAAGGCGCTTGACCTTGCGGTCAAAGGTGGTCTGTGCCTGCTTGACCCACGCCATGATGACCTCTGGAGCCTCAGCCTTAGTGTGGAGGAGGTGAACAGAGACGTATCGTGAGTGGTCATCCACGATAACTAGGAAGTAGCGATATCCACCTCGTGCAAGAACAGGGGCAGGGCCCCAGACGTCCATGTGCACTAGGTCCAGTGGTGCCGCTGCGATTGTGGGTGAGGCAGTGTGGGGCTGTTGGCGCAGTTTGCTCTTGGTGCAATCAAGGCACGTGGGAGCGGGTGAGTCAGGTGGTGGAGGAAGTGTGGCTGGCAGGCCGAGAAGAAGTTTCTTGGAGGCCATGTCAGCAAGCGTGCGGAAGTTTGGGTGCCCTAACCGATGATGATAGAGGATGGTCGGGTTGGAGAGGCTGCGACATGTGCATGGTGTGATGGGAGCCTGTGCTTGGGTGGTTGAAACCTGTGGGAGAGGAACGCGTAGCGTATAGAGGCCGCTGCTATTGAGGGTGAAGCGGGCCAAGACCTTGTTGGTGAGTGGGTCAATGATGTCGCAGTGGTCCTCATTCTCCGAGAAGATGGTGCGTAGCCCTGCTTTCTGAATTTCTGTTTGAGCCACTAGATTGTGGCGTAGTGAAGGCACGCACATTCCAGTGACGGTGCCGGAAGGGAAGGCTGGGCATGGGACTGTGGAGGTGCCCTTGGCTAGGGTGGTGAAGCTGGAGTCAGCTCCCAAGAGAGGGATAGGTGCTGGATAGGGTTTGAAGGAGAGTGTCTCCTTGAGCACAGTGTGAGTGGCCCCGCTGTCGAGTGTGAACTCTATGTACTGTGGTGCCTGTGATGAGTCGATGTACTGGGAAGTGGCTTCATTAATCATGGCAGTGCCAGGAAACAACAGGTTGATACGCACATCAACAGGAGCACTATCACTAGCACTAGCCGAAGAGGGGTCCTGGACCTCAACGAGATTGGCCTTACGAGCGCGCATCCAGTTTGGCGGCTTCTTGTCAACCCCGTGGATGGCATACCACTCGTCGTCTTTCTTCTTGAAGCACGTGGCAAGGGGGTGGTTAGTGCCACCACACACTTGTCCCTTGCGGTTGCCATACTTGACGACGTAGGTGCACGGAGGAAAGCGGTTGCGCTGGAAAGGCGCCGAGGCAAGGGCCGCTGCAACACTTGCTGGGGGCATGGGAGCACGGATGGCGTATGCCTTGGCCTGAGCCATGGAGTCTTTCTCGGCAGAGAGGAGTGCGGTGGAGACCTTAGCAAAGGTGAGGTCTTCCGCTGAGAGCATGAGGAGCATCTTCCTCGTGACTTCATATGCCGAGGAGAGACCAACAAGAAGGGCGGCTGCAGGGGCTTGTTCGGGGAAGACTATACCCAGCTCCTTGAGTTCACCACGAATGGTCTGCACCTTGGCGATGTAGTCAGCCATTCCTGAGCAGTCCTCAAGACGGACTTGAAACATGCTGGGGATGAGAATCGCCACTCCGACCGCCGTCTTGTTCATGAACCGATCCTGGAGATACTTCCAGATGGCGTTGGAGGTAGGGTAGTTGTGGAACGTGTTGACAAGTTCGGGAGGGGTGGAGGCAATGAAGACGCTGATGATGGCAGCATCGGCCTTCTCCCGCTTCCGGTACTTCTCAACAGCTTCTTCGTACGCCATCACGTCAGCATCACTTGAAGATTCGGTCGGTTCACGGGGAAGAGTGGGCTGTTTCCCCTTGCCACGGTTGAGGAGGACGTCCTTGAGGTCAAGGCCCTGCACGTCACGGCTCAGGAGGTGCTTGTCAACTCCGTAGCTCCACGCCTTGAAGTTGGAGCTAGAGCCATCGGCTTCAAGGCGGAGCGGGGTGATGGGGTTCGCCATGGTGGAAGACGAGAAAGCCATGGTGGAGACCCCTTAACTTCTCGCGCGGAGCGCCGCTCTTAAGTCACCGATAGGAACTTGAGGTTTGGGGTTTCCAAAGGAGATTTTGAAGAACCGGAGGTTTAGGGTTTACGAAAAAGAATATTGAGGTTTAGGGTTTCTGAAGGAGAATTTGACTGAGACGCCAATTTAGTGTCAACTACCTACTAATCCTATTCCCACACACCCCCCCACACACCACCCTCAGCTTCGCGGCTACGCTGCTGCTCGGCTTCGCGGCTACACGGCTGCTCGGCTTCGCGGCTACGCTGCTGCTCGGCTGCGTTGCTGCACCTGTTCATCTGCGGGAAAGAGGGGGGATGGGGGTAGGAGTGCAGATGCGGGGCGACGGGCGGCAGCCCGAAGATGACGCTGCGGGGCGACGGGCGGCGGCCCGACGAGAAGCAGCAGAGCGACGGGCGGCAGCCCGAAGAGAAGCTGCAGGGCGACGAGCGGCGGCCCGACGAGAAGCTGCAGGGCGACGGGCGGCAGCCCGACGAGGAGAAGAAGTGACGAGAGTGACGAATTGATGAAAACGAGTGTTAGGTTAGAGCGCCGACGATGCGCTTACCAGAGAAGTTTCCGTCGATGGTGACGGGAAGATGTGGCGGGAGGAATTCCGCCGATGAATGTCGCGAATCAACGGCGACGAGATTGGCGATGGCTTCCCCGAGGTTTGCGGGACAAGTATCCGCAGAGATGAGAGGATCACGATCCGCGTATGCGGTTGAGCTGCTCTGATACCATGTCAGAACTTGAGCTTAGAATCGATACTATAGTAGTGAGCTCAAAGCTCTTTTAGTACATCCGGAATGAGCAAGGTAGGGATGAGGAGGGAATCAGGAGGCAATCCTAGGGAATCAAGGGTAATCCCAAGGCAATCTCCAATTGGTGGGTTGGAGATTGCTTGGAGATTACATTTGGGTTTGGTTGGGATGTGGGTGTACACCCAACCAAACACAAAGTGCAAACTACACTAAACTAGGATATAAAAGTACAAGTACAAAATGTGAGATTGGGGCCTAACACCAACATCACACTGTCACAATGCTTGCCTCTTTTGTCCTTCTAACGGAGGTAGTTGCGAGAGTCGCAACAGAAGCATGGGAGACGATGTCTCACCTGGATTACGTGTGACTGTTCGGGGAGAAGCAGGAAGGCCTGCACAAAGACAAAGCAATCAGAGCGAAGATAGAAGACACCATGTAAGATTCAGAAAATTAGTGACTCATATCAAATTGCAGTCACTTTCAAATTGACCTCCATCGGTAACCTCATCAGCGCCAGAGCTAACCTCATCTTCACCAGCACTACCCCCATCGTCACAATTCCTTACATCACCATCCACTCCCTCAGTCTCGTTGCCACCTCCTTTACATCCTCCGGACTGGACCTCCCATGTTGTTAACCACCATGCCAAGCCCATCCACCTGAAAGCACACACTGCTTACCTGTATCCACTGTCGATTCAAGAATGACGTGCCGCTGAAACGGCTTCACAGTGGTGGACGCCACGAAGCCAAAGAAGAAGGCGGGCTGATCAACTGCACCCTGCAGCACCTCACACAGCGCCAGCCTCCACTCCAGCACCGCTTGCTGCGGCTTCTCCTGCGAGTCAGCCAGGAAGACCTGGATGGTGCCGGGGTCTCCTGGCTCATAGTCCACCCACGCCGTGTACGCCTTCCTGTTGCTCAGACGGAAGGGTGACCTCACAGCGACTAGCGATCTGTCTTCGCCTCGAACGTTCAGCCCGACATGGTGGCTGCTCATGTCGCCATGCTCCTTGTTCTGCAGAGTGTCAAACTCCACCGCCATGCTCCGTGTGTCCATTCCACCATACCCCACCCCAGCGCCACTCCCCACCTGGTCCGTTGCCGAGATGACAAACGCTAAGCCGTTGAAGCCCACGTGGCCAGATCGAGGCAAGAGGGAGAAGGTAAAGTTGGCGTGAAAGGCGAGCTGCAGCCCACACCGCGACAGTCCCTGGTTTGCCTCGTACACAAACAACTTCACCGGCTCTGCGGTGAAGTTCCCCTTCGTCTCGCGCTGCCCCCCCCTGGTGAGTATAGATGCTGGTGGGAGAACCGCTTGACTGCTTGAGTAGTTTTTGTTCTGGCCTGCACAAACATACCAGACGGATGGACAGAAGTGGGATATGTGTAAGAACTTGAGCGAGACTTGATTGATTTAATAAAGGAGCTCAAGAATTCTAAGTACATTAGAAAATGGGTGGGAACAGATGGGCAGGGGATCGGGGGCAATTCCCAATAAGATCGACTGAAATCTTCAACTGGTGTTGGAGTTGAAGGTTTCAGTTGACCACATCACATTTGGGTTGGGTTGGGATATTGGTGTAACACCCAACCACAAAAACTACTACACTAAAGTAGGACATTAAAAGTGCAAGTAAAAGACGTGAGGTGGAAGTCTATCGCTAACAATATGGAGGTATGACAGGGTGATACCTAAGAATTCCGATCAACAAGCGACTGGAGTTCATGTGAGTTGGACGTCCCACCATTCTGTAAATCAGTATGTGGTCATGTTTCATAGATTTCAAGTGGTGTCCCCTACCTTGAGCAACAAAGGTGATCCCTCCAAATTGCACGAATCCCGCATCACACAGACATGTGGGTGCCAAGCTAGCCCCCTCTGGATAGCACACCCCATGTCCTCCACACGCAGCAGCAGCAGCAGCACCAGCAGCAGAGGAGACGCCACAGAATGCATTGCATGCTGCCTCCTGTCGCTGGGGCACCAAGGCACAGCCAAGCGGCAACGTGAAGCAGTTGGCATCAAAAGAGTGAGGCTGGCATGCCCCGTCGGGCAGAGGGCCCGAGAGGAAGTTGCTGGAGAGATATAGGGTTCGCGCAGCAAGGAGCTTCAGTGCGCGGCCTGTGAGGTAGTTGTGAGAGAGGTCTCTGCAGGAAGGAGGTGCAAGTGGCGGAAGAAGGATGGGTGGGGATCACCTCACTGCACCTGGATAGAAAAAAGTGGAGTGCACTGAGCAAAGATGTGAGGGGTTGTTGAGAAGAATGGGTATACGGATGGGGGAGCAGAAGGGGATAGACACGGGCTGGCGGAGGAGAAGAATAAGGAGTCAACGAGAAGGGGAGCAGAAGGGGAAGGTGAGGTGGAAGAGAAGGATACAGAAGAGGGAGAGGAAGAAGAGGCGTACGAGGATGGTAAGTTGATTGAGACCAGGGAAGAGAGAAATCCGAGATATGAGGAAGAGAGAAACGAGGAAGCAATCCGAGGAATGTGAAGATGGGTATACAGGGCACTGGCACAGCAACCACGGGCATTCATGTGCTTTTCTATTGACTGGATTGACTCTTAAGTGGTACTAGGTAGTGTTCAATGTTATAGACCAGCACTCTAGGATGATGATGCACCAGTATGCGAAGTGGGATGCTGCTGGTGGGCTTTTTGAAGGAAAATGTTTCATGAAACTAGGGCAGGAAGAAGAACAGAGAGATCGTGGGGCTAACCAAAGTAAGGAGAATTCAACTGAGCACCACATTTGAAGTACAGCAACCCATCCATTCAAAACAATGGAAAAAGGGTGCACTCCACGAATGACTTCATTGCATGGACACACGTATGTATCAAAGTCACCCCCTTGTGTTCTTAGCTCGCGCTCATCATGAGAAAAGCTCTCGTGTGAGAGGAAATTGACAGCACTAGACAAGAGGGCAACTGACAGATGAGAAACTTGGGTGAGTGTGCTGATGGTAGCAGGAATGCTGCCAGACAGTTGGTTGCTTGAAAAATCTCTGAGTGGAAAAAGAATGCCAAATTATAAACACCACTGAGGTTATAGTGAGGTGAAATGATAAAAGTACGCATGAGCACAACAAATTACCGCGGTTCGGTTCAGGGCGGTTCAGTTCGTTTTTTACCCAAACTATACCGTTTTTCTTTTTTGCGGCCGTTATTTTTTTCTTCAACAAATTGAACCAGTCCTTCTGTTCGGCCGGTTTGTTTTCAACAACTATCCGAGCCACGCCGAAGCTCCAGCTCCCTCATAGCCTAGCATTGGTGTGTTTCCCACGGTTCTTTTTAGATAACAGCTCCTTTTTATGTTTCAGCCAGTGTAACGATAGTGAAATGTTCAAGGAGAGAAACTTGGAGGCCGTGGTTGTGAGAGCAGCAGTTCTATTGATTAGACTGTTAAGATACATTTGAGCAAGGAAGTTGGGAAAACCTAATTAACCCGACCCGTGGTTTAGGGCTGGTCGGGTCAAGGATTTCAGAAATGTGCCCCGCGCGGGTTGGCCCGATCGAACCCGAGCTAAAACCCGACCCAAGTACAGAACTTGGGCCGAGTCAGGGCCGGGGTTTGGGCCAGGATTGACCCAACCCGATTTCAACTCTGTAGGGTTCGAAACCCTAGACAAATTTGATGACGAGGATTAAGAAGTCCCTCGACATCAGAACTTGGGCTGAGTCGGGACGGGTTTCGAGCCAGGATTGACCCGACCCGATATCGGGTCTTGGTCGGGGAATTCGGGCCGGGCCAACTCTGTAGGGTTCGAAACCCTACATAAATTTGATGTCGAGGATTGAACGGTCATCAGAACATGAGCACGCGCCACGCCAAGTAGCCAAACTTCAGCCACTAATGTTACCTAAGCTAAGCTAGTAGCTATTTTAAAGCCTACAGAACCATGTTTTCCGACATTTCTATTTACTATGAAGATGTTACTCTGCTATTAAAGGAGACCGCACTGGTGGGATAGTATACTCACGAGTTCACGTTTTACTAGTGCAATTTCTCCTTCGAGGCTGCACGCGCCATGTCTTAAAACAACCACCGTTCATAAGTGGGCCCAGCACATAAACTAGTACCAATTCGTACTGATTGACGGGCGCCGCATGCACAGTACATTTCACTACAGCTAATACACACCCGTACCCCGTAACAGGGCGGGCCAGCCTGGCCCGACCCGACCCGACCCGGGGTCGGGTCAGTTCTGACCCGAATTTCAAAACTCGGGTCGGGTCAGACCCTCCACAAGCTTGGCTCGAAGCTGGCCCGACCCGGGAACCCATCTGGCCCAGCCAAGTCGGGTCGGGTCGGGTCAGGCCGGGCCACATGGTCATGACTAGGTGGAAGGGAACGTCGTAGACTATGAGAAAATTGGAGCTTGAAATAAAGCTACAACAATCTCTGGTTTCAAGGTTATATTCACACCCAAACTGGTCCGTACTAAACTTGTGGCTCAAGGACGATGGCTCAATTCAGAAAAAAACAAACCAAACTGCACAGAACCAAATCGTGTTGATCCGATCAAGCACTAGGATGAGAAGAAGGCTGATGATAGTCTCGCGGGATTTGGTGTATGTATGAAAGTAGGGGAGTAAGTAAAAACCAGTGATATTGTGATGGGAAATAGAATGGGGCTACTACACCAGGAATATTTTATCTGAGACTTTTCACCACACCCCATCCAGTCACAACTCTGATCATGGGATCTAAATGGGTGCTTCGCAAAAGACTTTAATGCATGCATGTACGCCCCTAATGTTGTTAGCTCACGCTTAACATAAAAAAGAAGCTCCCCTGTGAGAGGAAACTGACAGCACTAGACTAGAGTAGAGAGTCACTAACAGGCAAAGAAGTTGGGCGAGTGTGCTGATGGCAGCAGGAATGCTGCCAGACAACTGGTTGCTTGAAACGGCTCTGAAATGAAGCCAGATTATAAAATACCACTGGGGTTACAGTGACGTTGTAGCATACAAGAGAAGACCAGACTGAAGCGAGGGAGGACAGCGATGAGGTTGGGTAAGACCATACAAAGGGTGATTAGCATATGAAGATGGTCGTCCTTTGGAGAAGACGAGACGAGGCAAAATGCTAGAAGAATGTGAGGCAACACGAATATTGGAATTATGATATTACGACATCCACTTGCAGAAAATATATTGTGAGAATTTGATCACAAGAAAGAAGAGAAGATCTCAATGAAGGGAAAAGGAAGTGAACAATCAAAACAGGGAAGTGAAGGGATATAGGGGAGAACTGAGGGAGATAAAAGAGGTCGTGCTATACTGAAAAGGGGGGGAAAGAGTCCTGGGAGAGCACAGAAGATGTGAGAAGAACAACAAAAGCGTATCTTCTTACATAATTGTCAACTTGGTGAGGGCGCCAATGTCTGCCGGAATGGAGCCGTTGAGCTGGTTGGAGGCAAGCGACCTGTCCCAATCAGGGTGTTCAATCAAGGCATGAGCAAAATCCGTGTCGTGTGCCTTAAGACTTGAAGGCTTGAAGAGCGCGGTTCTGAAACTCTCCATCCCCATCTGGTGCGCAAGTGGTTTTGGTTTAGTTATTGCTCATGCCTAGGAATGTGGGCGAAGCACCTACAATGGATCCTTACATGGCTACCAGCTTTGTCAGCAAGCCAATGCAAGCGGGGATGGAGCTGGTGAGCCGGTTGTTAGCGAGGGAGCTGTCCGAGACAGGGAGACGAGGGACACGTGGGAGGCGTGCAAGGGCGATGGACAAATTGGTGAGAAGGAAGGTGGGACGGTGATTATTAGCATGAGACTGGACATGAGGAAGGATCAATTGGGTTGGCACATTTTGAACCTCACCAGCCTGATGGCCAGGTGGGGTTCCAATCAGCCATGGGCGGTTTGTCACAGGGTTGCCCGAGTTTGGCCTGAATCACAAATGCTGTAAACGGACTTTCCAAGGCTTAACTGTTCTGTGAACGAGTGTTTGAGCACATAAATGGAATAAAACGACGTGGTTCAAACACACAGAATCACTGTCTTTGGAAAGCTGCCCACCTTGATTTGTGCCGGCCCTGCCCTGGCTCAGCCCTTGATCGTACCTAACTTGTGCTACTACAATAGCTTTTGTTGCACACTCTGCAAAGGTTTCTGACAATGAAAAACAATACAATGGATTATTTACAGGAATGTAAGAGCAGTGAGCTTTATGATTGCAGATGGCAAAGATCCTGAGAGCAAGTTGGAGTTGAGAGAGCTGTGGTGATGATGTGGTGGGTGGACGCACGGAAAGAAAATATGAGTTCATTGGCGTGTTTGCAAGACACGATAGGGAAGGGAATGGGGCCAGTGACGAGAAGGAAATGTAGAGGTCAAAAAGGTGACCAATTCGAGAGAGACCAGATAGTAGGTCGGGGGGGAGGGATCACACATTATCAAAGGCTTGCTACGACGGACGAGCCACGGGCCGAGTCAGCCCGGCCCGTCGAGTGGAGACTCTGGCTTGGCTTGTCAGCCCACCGGCTTTCCATGGCCCAAAAACGAGCCAGCTTAGCCCAGTCTTATGCTCGTGTGGCAGAAAGGAGCCTTACAGGGATGCCAGAGATAGTAGAGAGCCAATCTCCACAGGAATTGAACCCGTGAGCTGATTACTCTCGAGGCACCTGCCATTGCGTACGAATGCAAGAAGGAAGAACCAGACCAGCACTCTAGGATGATGATGCACCAGTATGCGAAGTGGGATGCTGCTGGTGGGCTTTTTGAAGGAAAATGTTTCATGAAACTAGGGCAGTAAGAAGAACAGAGAGATCGTGGGGCTAACCAAAGTAAGGAGAATTCAACTGAGCACCACATTTGAAGTACAGCAACCCATCCATTCAAAACAATGGAAAAAGGGTGCACTCCACGAATGACTTCATTGCATGGACACACATATGTATCAAAGTCACCCCCTTGTGTTCTTAGCTCGCGCTCATCATGAGAAAAGCTCTCCTGTGAGAGGAAATTGACTGCACGAGACAAGAGGGCAACTGACAGGCGAGAAACTTGGGACAGGCAAGCTCTCCTGTCCCAATCAGGGTGTTCAATCAAGGCATGAGCAAAACTCGTGTGCCTTAAGACTTGAAGGCTTGAAGAGTGCAGTTCTGAAACTCTCCACCCCCATCTGGTGCGCAAGTAGTTTTGGTTCGGTTATTGCTCATGCCTAGGAATGTGACCGAAGCACCTACAATGGATCCTTACATGGTTACCAGCTTTGTCAGCAAGCCAATGCCAGCAGGGATGGAGCTGGTGAGCTGGTTGTTAGCAAGGGAGCTGTCCGAGACAGAGAGATGAGGGACTAGGGATGAGCAAGGTGGGGAACACGTGTTCGGTTCGCCTTGAACACGTTCGAGGCGAACCGAACAGGTTTTGTTTTTTAGCTCAAATCGTTCGCCGAACACTGTTCGATGTTCGCCCGAACACGTTCGTGTTCAGGCCGCTGCTGAAATTTGCCCGCGACGAACACGAACAGTGTTAGGGGTTCGCCCGAACACGCCTCCACAGGCGAACAGCGAACACCTATTTTTTCCTAA